AATTCAAATTTTAGCATTCAACTGAAAATATTGACTCGGACAATATTTATTTAATTATTGCTCACGTAACTTGATTGAATTGAATCAAACTGTAACTTCATTTGCTGCTCTTCACATTTGTATGATAAAATTTTAATTATTTCTATGCTAACCCGCGCAAAGGTTACGTGCGTCACGTGCATAGTCCACATTACGTACGTTGCGTACACGGGCCACATTACGTGCGTTGCGTACATGGTCCACATTACGTACGTTACGTACACGGGCCACATTGCATGCGTTGCCTACATGGTCCACATTACGTACGTTACGTACACGGGCCACATTGCATGCGTTGCGCACGTGGCCCACATAACGTACGTTACGTAAACGGGCCACATTGCATGCATTGCGTACATGGTCCACATTACGTACGTTACGTACACGGGCCACATTGCATGCATTGCGTACATGGTCCATATTACGTACGTTACGTACACGGGCCACATTGCATGCGTTGCGTACATGGTCCACATAACGTACGTTACGTACACGGGCCACATTGCATGCGTTGTGTACGTGGCCCATATAACGTGCTCCGAGGTCGTGACGCCACAAATCGATGTGCATTTGCCAATCAAAGTGAATTTGTCATGAGCCGACGGCATGGAGTGTAAGCAAACAAGAAGCCATTGTAAGAAGTGCACCAGCGACATAACTGCATTATTGGTCGATAAAATTCTGCGTCTGCAACACAATTGCATCCTGTGGACCGTAACATTTTGGTCGATTATCCTGACTGTTTAATCGTTGGTTTATGATCCATACTTTTTAATTTAGATCTATTATATAGACTGTTTTATCGTGGGTGGATAAAACTGAAGTGAATTTGTTGCTTGATTATTAGCATTGTTTTATCGCGGCTCGTTTATACAAAATTTTATCGTGGATTGATTATACAGACTGTTAAATCATTGGTCAATCATCCTGACATTAACATCGTGGGGGCCATATTCGTGACAGTAACATCATGAGGCCATCATCGTGACAGTAACATCGTGAGTCATCGTCGTGACAGTAACATCGTGAGGCCATCATCGTGACAGTAACATCATGAGGCCATCATCGTGACAGTAACATCGTGAAGCCATCATCGTGACAGTAACATCGTGAAGCCATCATCGTGACAGTAACATCGTGAGGCCATCATCGTGACAGTAACATCGTGAGGCCATCATCGTGACAGTAACATCGCGAGTCATCGTCGTGACAGTAACATCGTGAGGCCATTATCGTGACAGTAACATCGTGAGTCATCGTCGTGACAGTAACATCATGAGGCCATCATCGTGACAGTAACATCGTGAGTCATCGTCGTGACAGTAACATCGTGAGGCCATCAACGTGACAGTAACATCATGAGGCCATCATCGTGACAGTAACATCGTGAGGCCAGCATCGTGACAGTATGTATGGGCGGTGTATAGGCGGTGTATGAGCGGTGTTGGGCGGTGTACCGGCGGTGTATGGGCGGTAGATGTGGACTGTATGAGAGTGCCGTGTGATGGGAGAGTATGTTGCGTGTAATACAGCTAGGGGTATGTGTAGTGTTTGTGAGAAACAAAAGACATGCGTGAACGTTAAGACTGACTGGCATGCGGATGTGTATATAAAATATTTCATGTATTCGTGAGATTGACGTGCGATAGCATTGATAGTCAATGAGAGCGACATGCATGAGTATTTAATTACTTAACTGAGTTAATAATTCCATTATTTAGGACCATCCCAGTGGTTGCTGCCAATAAGGAGTAAATGGTAGATATTAACGGTATAAGTGACACAGAGGAAGTATATTTTGAATTTTCTTGCATGAATCCCATGTATATTTGTCAAATTTCGTGTGTTTGAAAGTATGAGTGTTTGAAGTCTGGCACCGAAAATAAATATTGGCTGATCGTGCCTTTATCCACGTTTCTTATGGTAAGGGGCTATTACTTGGGAACTTTTTTGAATGCTGTAATCATGTGCTATTGGGATACAGAGGTTAAGGTGAGATTAGAAACTAAAATTTCAAATTTAGGTCTACATCTAGTGCTTTCTCTAAAAAATCTGAAATTTTGGTAAATTTATATTCTATTTGAAAGTAACAAGTTAACGTTTTCTAAAATTTCAAAATTTGACGTGAATGAGGGTTCCGTGCAAAATTTTGGTTTGAACAGATTTTCCATCAATTACGGTACTTCAGTTTCAAAATAGTATACTAAATTTTTAAGGACGTCAGAATATTCAATGACGCGGTTCTCAAACTGCATGCATTATATATCTCGGTCAACGCCGATCTTAGCAGCTAGTATGCAATAGGATATGAATGGTTTTCCCACAATAGTTACGATTAAATTTGAGATCTTGTTACAACATTTCTCTTTAACTTCACTTCTTGATTGTTTGTCTGTCTGCTCCAAATTTTATAATCGATATTTGACACATTTCTGCCTGTCCAATTGATCCGAAATTTTACACACTTGCGTAAAGTCGGAGACAATGCATGAATCAGTTGACAGAATAAATAATTTCGAAAATGTCATTTTTTTATATATTAAAAACTGAAAAATTAATTTGTCTTAATATTCGGAAATAAAATTAGAAATTCATTTTACATGTGTAACATTGGAGACACTTGATTCTTTCGAAGTGTTGCCTTTAAAAAAGTAATTTAAGCGTATATTATTGATCTCAATCATGCCACATCAGTGGCCATGTGACATAATTAATATCACTGAAATACTCAACTCAAAAATTTTAACGAGTTTTGGGGCTGCTTGGTGGATTCAGCCTTCGGGAACTGAATAGACTACTGGAGCTGATCTGGCTATCAAAAGACACCAGGACTGATCTGGATCTAAATAGCCACTAATAATGATCTGGATTTGAGTACCCACCTGGAGCTGAATAGCCACCTGTAGTTGAATAGCCAGCCACTTGGAGCTGAATAGCCGACCATCTAGAGCTGAATAGCCCTTTGGAGCTGAATATATACTCTCATAGTGCTGAATAGCCACCTGTAGCTGAATTGCCAGCCACCAGGAGCTGAATATACGTATAATCTCATAGTGCTGAATAGTGACCTGGAGCTGAACAGCCAGCCACCTGGAGCTTAATAGTCAGCCAGCTAGAGCTGAATGGCCAGAGCTGAATAGTCTCCTGGTGCTGAATAGAAATATATTTGCGCTAGAGAACCTGCATGGGTAGTATAAGCCAAAAAGCTGGCGTGACGAACTGAGGCTTAAGCTCCTACACTTCCTTTATAGCGCATAGAGCATAAAGCATAAAATCTGCGGTTATTGCTGCCAGGATTTCAGTATCTTTTCCATGGAAATCATTTTTTCTTTCGGCGCTGATCTTTACTTATATAGAAAAGAGAAAATCTTTGAAAATTATCAGATAAAATAAAACTCTACTGAATAATTGTGAATATAATGTTTACTGAGCGCTACAGAGAAGCTTAACTGAGGGGCTGCACGGCATGGCGAATGCATCTAATCATGAAGATGATGCAAGTAATAGTGATATTTTCTGTTTATTTTCGTGGTATTCTTAATGATACTTTTTTGTAGTGGTATCATTATGATACTTTAGTGTCGTAGTATCATTGCGATACTTAATTGTCGTGGTATCATTTAAGATACTTAATTGTCGTGATGCTCAAAGAGGTATTTTATTGTCATGGTATCTTTAGTGCAACTTTATTGTCGTGATATTCAAAGTGATACTATATTGTCGTGGTGTTCCTGATAATGATTTATTACTGTACCGTTGATAATGATGCTTTCTATTGTGATGTACGTGATTATGCTTCATATCCGAGATGGTCCTAATGATGCTCTATAGCCATAGTATGGTAGTGTATAGTGATACCTTACGGTTGTGGACGGTTGTGGTGGTGTAGGGGGTCATAACGATGGTTTAGAATTTGTATTGTGAGAATGATGAAATTTTAACTAAAAGGTTTGATAATATTTCGTGAGGACAGTGAATGCGCGCTGTGGTGTGATGATAGTTATGTGCTGTGGTGGGATTATTGTGTGTTGTGGTATGAATGTTGTGTGTTGTATGTGATGATATTTACGTGTTGCTGCACTTCCATCGCAAAATTTCATCACTCACCAAGACAGTGTAAAAAAATTCTCAACTGCCTTCCTAAATTTCCGAGAGGTCTCACTCGAATTGAAGGTCGTCCTCAAGCGGACTCTAATTAATTCGAGGACTCTTCAGGACTCTCGAGGAGACTCTTTAAATAAAAGAAATGCATATTTTAATTTCTGAGACTCCAATCTCTACTGGGCTTCTGTTTGCAGTAAATACAAGATAAAAATTCGTAAATGTAACCGAGAAACTACTCACAGAAGTCGAATCTGCAATGCGGGTTTATAATATTCGCATATAAAATGTATATACTTTATGATATGTTTTAAAATATGTTGAGGAAAATACATAATTTATATAATTTAGTATTAGCATTTTAAGAATATTTTGCAAGTAAATAGTTTATATTTGCACTTGTTTACCAGGAAGAGTTTCAGAAGGTATTGCTGAATGCCAGAGTTGAAAGCGCTGTCTTTCGGTACTAAATAAAATAGTGCTGTGTGATATATTCAGTATTATGGCCTCTATAGAATAACTTAGAATAACTAATCAATTGAATTTCCTTACGACGAATGTGTTACTTGAAACATTTTAGACCGAATATGGTAATTATTTACTCATCCCATGCTTAATGAGATACTTCGATCATGGCAAACCTAATATAGCGCTCGAATTATCTCGTGCTTAAGGAGATACTTGGATCATCGCTAACCTGATATGGCACTCGAATTATCTCGTGCTTAATGAGATAATGGGATCATCGCTAACCTGAAATGGCACTCGAATTATCTCGTGCTTAATGAGATAATGGGTGAAAAATATTTCATTCTGGTAGCTGGTAACAAAAACTAAATTGAGATATTTTTCTATTACAGATCGTGGTACAGATGGAGCAGGGCATTATATGCCACCTCACATCACCAGAGGGCCACAACAACTCCTCTGATCCACCCAAGAGCTTCACATTTGACGGCGCGTACCACATCGACTCCACCACAGAGAGCATTTACAACGATGTGGGCTTCCCCATTGTTGAGGTGAGTGCAGTGTTGAAGGTAATATTAATAATATAAATATAATATAACTAATATGTGTAATTATAAATATAATATATAGTATAAATAATATAATTAATATAATATCAATAGTAATATTTATTAATAAAAATGAGTAATGATAATTAATACAAATGCAATAATATAATTGGCACCAACTATGAGGTTTTACTGCTATTTCGGTTCTAAATCTCGTCATCTTCGTTGATTGCAGACACCTTTGCTTCTTAATGATATGGTTCAGTGTCATGTAAGGACTATACAAAGCTAATTTAAACCTCAGCTTTAATCCTTTCATATTAAAATGAAGCTTGACTCGTAAGACATAAAAGAGCTTTATACTTTGCTTCCCCCCTTCGCGAGCAACATTTTTAATCTGCAACATTGTGATGACAAATTAAGCGGCATTTAAAGTATTGAGATTTTTGCCGCAGCTATAAATTCAAATAGTGAACAATGCACTGAAAATCATATAAAACTTTAATTATCAAACCAACTCGAAGAAAGAAGGCAATCTTAATGTTTCCTGCAGCCATGACAATTAATATTAATTTTTATGTAAACTATAGCGCACAAATTTCAATGCACCCATTCATAATCTCGGCTTGCATTGATTAGTTTTCTCTAATAGTCGTTGTCGCAAAATCAAAAGGGGAATATAATGATTACAATATTTATATAATGCACTCGCTACAGGGATCGATGGAAGTTAGATTCGAATATTTAAACACTATTTATGAATTGAAGCAAAACTTTTCTTGACATATTACGTCACAATTTGATGCATTATTGTTTTTAAAATCATGGATAGCATGCAGTCGTCAATCGTGCTGTTCCCATATTAGCATAGACTGTTCCTTAACACGAAACATATTGAAATAATCTTAGCGTGGAATATATTTAAATTAATCCTATCGCCAAACATAAAAAAATTAACCGTGTCTAGAAATAAATGGAATCAATCTTATCGTTAACCATCTAAAAAGTAATCTTATCAGCAAACATCTTGATATAAATGATACCTTGCAATATAAAACAACAATAATTATTCTCCCTTTCTAGAAACGTTCACAAGCAAATCTCATCGCATAACATCTATAACAACTGATCTCTTCGTGGAAAATCTAGAAAGTATTCATTTCTTTTCTGAAGAGAAAAACAATGAATTTCTTTTCTGGAGTATTCATTTCTTTTCGAAGAGATTCAGATCTGAATCTCTTCGTGTTTAATCTCGACATTAACATTTTCGTGGAATATTCTAAAATGCATCAAGTAAAAAAACATCTATATAGTTTATCTTACTCCGAAATATCTAGAGCATCTCAATGTTTTGCGCAGGCAACTAGAAATTAATATTATCCCAAACGTATAAAAATTAATCTCATTACGGAACATCAAGGAACGAATCGCAGAATGTCATGAAAAATAAGTGGCAGTGTATGCCACATTGTAGGAATAGGTTACTGGGCGAATATGTCAGCTGTTTTTGATTGAAATTTGTGCCTTGCTCTATAATCAAAATGTCAATTGTATGTCATGGATGAGAAGTATAGTTGAATAATTGATATCATCTAGAAGATGCTATATAGATCTCGTCTACATTGAGGTCATCTCATTATAAGCTAGGATAGATTTCTAGAAGTAATTCAGTTTATCTTACCTTGACTTCTAAAAAATAAATGCATTTTTCCGAACTAAAAATATAATTTCATTTCTTCGTTTTTTTTTCGCAAATATAGATTTTTAGTTTTTTGTTACAACCTATGCCTGCACCCAGGATGGATATAGTAACGCTGACACTGAAATAAAAGCTTAAGGTTATTTTGGTATTGGATATGCTATTCTTGAAATCGAGTTAAAATAATATAAAATTACCGCTGTTACAATTTTCTCAATGCCCTTGGAAAATGTTATTTTTTTGTCTTAGAGCTGCTAAAAAAATTATAAATCCGTTTAATACCGATCCGTCATGCTGTGAACATTGATCGTCATGCTGTGAACATTGATCGACATGCGGCGAATCATTCAAGTCATTCTGGGACGCATGGTTGTCATGCTATGCATATCGTGCTATAAATCATGATAGATAATTATGCTGCTCCCCATGATTGTATTTTATGCTATTAGTTTTATGCTATTAGACTGCATTGCCATGCTGTTAGTCGTGACTGCATTGCCATGCTGTGACTCATGGCCATCATATGGCTACCATGTGGCTGCCATCATATGGCTACCATGTGGCTGCCATGTGGCCATCATGTGGCCAACATGTGGCCGTCATGAGGCCGCCATGTGGCAGTCATGTGTCCGCCAAGTAGCCGTCATGTGGCCGCCATGTGGCCGTCCTATGGCCGCCATGAGGCCGCCATGTGGCCGTCATGTGGCCGCCATGTGGCCGCCGTGTGACTGACATGTGACCGTCATGTGGCCGTCATGTGGCCGTCATGTGGCCGTCATGTGGCCGTCATGAGGCCATGCAGCTGAAAGGTGCCCAATGAGCCAGTGTTCGATCACGCACAGAATGTAGGGCAAGGCTGGTCACGAAGCTCAAGCCGGCGGCACTGAAGCGAAGTCTCGCAGGCATCGCGCACTCGCTGCTCTGGGCCGTGGCACTGCGAGTGCCATGCCACTATACAGCTATTCATGATGATTCGATCATTCATAAAAAATCGCAGAATGGCAATTTCTGTGAAATTGTTATCGGAAAAGTGTACACAAAAATGTAAAACACAACAAAACTTCATTCTTATGTGCACAGAATGAATTTTTTATCTAAATTTTGGTGGAGATTAAACAATAACATTTGAAATTTTACGTGCGCCTATATTTTTCAGTGGATTTTTAGTGCAAGTCCATGATAAATTGAAATGGCCCAGGAAAGCTTGAATGGAAATTTATTGGACAAAGAAGCGTAATGACAATTAACCGAATTATCGGATCAATAATGAATATTCACAAGTGCCATTGTATTAACTATGTTAGTAATTCAGTTTATTTTTAATGCAATCCCTAATTTTTTTCTGCTGCATCCGGCCAACGCTAGATTCAAAACCTCATCGACTTAAGATTTTTTACATCATGTCAGTTACGTCCTGCTATTGTTAGTGAGGCAACAATATTAGTAACACCTACAACGGAAAAAAATACTTAAAAATCTGAATGATTAATGTATACAACCAAATTAATTTCCGAATCAATGCAAGCTTTATCCCGTCACTCGGCCTCCAGACTCACGAAACCAAACAATTAACCTTGACCGGCTTGCCTCGGTTTGTGCAGGTTGTCAACCGGACGACAACCGCAACAATGCCTTGCCTTGCCACCCAAGATTAATTCAAGACAAGATTTCTTAGATTAATGATGCATTGAAGACTTTTTGTCTGGAAATTGATGTCGGAAAATTATTCCTAGATTCAACGATCGAACCTCGACATTTTTGTTGCACTTCTCGATAACTTATCATCTGTCGACTTATGTAAAATTTAACAAGTAATTGTTCTTCCACGCAACAATTAATTTCCAGGCACGCTGACCTCAAACCTGACATTCCTTGTTCTCCACGTTCACGGTCACCGACATGCAGTGCACTACATCGCTGAAACGCAGTGAATGAAACTGTAATATATTGGAATTAACTACATAATGCTATACAAAGCGTTACTGTGCACAGCATCGCTGCGATGGAGTGGATTTTACCAATGTGATGCATTGCAATTCATTACCGTAATGCAGTGCACGGCATCAAGGCGATGCAGTGCACCGCTTTAAGGCAATGCATTGCATGGCTTTGCTGCCATGCAGTGCACGGCATCAGGGCGATGCAGTGCACGACATCGCGGCTAATTCAAATCAATTAAATGGACGCGTTACGATTAAACTATTCATATGAACTCAGGAGATTATAAATGAAAGACGATTGATATGAATTTATTAATACTTATACGATATTATTGTATTGCTGAATGAAATTGCACTGCTTTTTTTAATCTCTAAAGCTTGCAGGAATTTCCAAGCAGTCACGCAAAATAACTTAATAAGGGAATTCGCAGTCATCAGCAAATATCAAAATTTATCCTGCATGAATTTCAATCTCAATTTCCGTGAATGGCCTCAGTTCGTTCAGACTCGGTGACCTTGCCTGTAGTGTCCTGACACCTAATACCGTCCTGTAGTGTCCTGACACCTAATATCGTCCTGCAGTGTCCTGACACCTAATATCGTCCTGTAGTGTCCTGACACCTAATATCGTCCTGTAGTGTACTGACACCTAATATCGTCCTTGTAGATTACTTGAATGTCACCTAGCGTCATTCTAGTGCGGGATTTGAATACTTTATTAAAGACAAGACATCGTCTTATGTCTTCATAACCGTAAATCTGGAAGCGTAATTTAAACCGTGCGCCGTAAGAACAAAGGGCTTTGTGACGTGACGTACAGCGTCGACATTGAGTTAGTTAGTTCCTTTGATACACAGTATTGCTTGTATATTTATAGGTGCTACACTTTTATTGAACTGCTTTTATTGGATCAAGGTTTGTAAGAGAAAAACCTTCGTAGAAATATTTAATATGCGGCAAATCAGCCTATTGATAGTGATAAAATACATTAAAATCGAATTTGCTTTACATCTCTAAATTGCAAAAAGAAATTAACTCACGAAGGTCAGAATGAGATTATTCAATGTATTCAGAATCTTCAGTTCCCGGTTTTCATCCATAATCAATATTTATCGTATTCATAATACTGAATACGCATGAACACATAATACAAGTGAACATACATAATACAAGACAAGAGTCCGTTCACTGAATACATAATACAAGTGAACGGATTTAGTTCAGAATAAAGGCTGCAAAATTGCCATCATCATTGAAGCTGCAAACACCAGCAGCATCAGCAGTACTAGCAGCATCAAGCAATCAGCAGCAATACCAGCATATACTGTATATAGCACCTGCGCTATAAGTACAATAGGCAGAAGCACCAGCATTACCAGCAGCATCTTTGGTAGCACTAATAACACCATCAGCGGCATTTGTAGCACCATCAACAGCATAAGTTGCACCATCAACAGCATCAGCAGCGCCATCAGCAGCACCATCAGCAGCATTAACAGTGCCATCAGCAGCACCATCGGCAGCACCAACAGTGCCATCAGCAGCAACATCAGCAGCATCAGCAGCACCATCAGCAGCACCAACAGTGCCAACAGCAGCAACATCGGCAGCACCATCAGCAGCACCAGCAGCGCCATCAGCAGGACCATCAGCAACATCATCAGCAGAACCAACAGTACCAGCAGCATCACCAGCAGCATCACCAGCAGCAACATCATCTGCAGTACCATCAGTAGCATCATCAGCGCCATCATCATCAGCAGTTGCGTGCTCGCTCTTATCTTCCTCACAGCAACATTGTTGACTTACTCCCCTTAACTCGCTACCCTCATGACACGACCCTCATGATTACAGCCCTCGCCTCTCACCCCTCAACAAATACAACTCACCCTCGACGCAGTTCAAAGTTGCTTCATCAATTAGACTCTTTAGTGGCTTCCTTTGTTGCGATGGAAGATTTGAGTTTTTACAGCAGAGTCAGTAAGTTTTTGGGGGTGGAAAATAATGTTCAAACTTTCAAAATGTCCGAAATGTCCTAAAATACTAATGTGCCAAAATTTAACATAGTTATAAATATTCATTTGATTATATAATTACACTCGTTTGATTCGCAGAAAATGATCAAGCAAGAGTTAAACACTATTATTTTATAGTCTTGATGTTGGGTTGAATATTTTAATGCGTCAATCTTTATTTACACTTCATATTTTGAGACTCTCAAATTTTATTCATGAATGAAACATAAATTATTGGTAAATCTTGAATACTTCACATCGATTTCCGTACCGACGACATTATTTCTAAATACATAGTAAACAAATAATTTTAATTGCAATAATTTTTTAATCCATATGGGCCAAAATAACGAAGAAAGAGCTAACGTTTGTTTTATTGAAATTGAAGGTTTCCAAAACATTTATTTATGTAATTGAGAGTGCATACATGTGATTGGACTTTATAATGATGATATGAATGATATTTCATAATAGTCATTATCGATTATCAGCAATGATACTTTACTCTTAACTTGTAAGTCATTTACTGTTTACTTGCTGTTTTCTAGTATGTACGCAACATAATTGTCGTATATTCCTAGTATGTTATCATGCTAGCAACATAATTGTGGCACATTCTATGATCATTTCTAATTAATTTTGGCTCCATGCTGAAAATTTGTTGCTCATTGACGCGAGGCAGTGGCAGAAAAATACTTTTACTGGTGATTGGTGATTGTTTACTGCTTCTTATCGGTTGTTTGCTACTGATTGGCGACTCATTTCGGCTCATTATTGGTTGCTGATCCTTGTTTTCTCTTGTGTAGATCATTTACCGCTCATTTCAACTCAGTGGCTCCTGTTTTGTTGCTCTGGCATTCATATGCTCACTCACAAGCCGCCGAGATCCCGCTTCTCTGAGAATTTCCATTGCGTCAATTGGAGGAAAATCAACAAGTTATGGGTTGTTTATCCACAGTATTTAATACAAGCAGTATTTATACAAAATCGTCTGATACATCATCAAACAGTTGAAAGAGTTGAAAATTAGTTTTATAACCGTAAATTGACTCCTATATAATCCTACTTTATTTTTCCTACCCTCAACCGCAGAACCTCAAAAATTCTCCCATAAAGCAGCATTTCCTTTTTCATTACTGAAAAATATGTCGGGGAATTACTAATCAATACATAATTTATTAAACGAATAGAGTTTGGATTAATTTTAATAAAATTTTAATCTTTTAATAATAATTTTAATATATTTAATTTTTTTTATTAGTTTGACAATAATAATAGCAAGACTTATTTACATTATCAATTTTTTATTATATTTATTTTACTATTTTATAATTATTATTATTATTATTATCATTATTATTATTATTATATTATTATTATTATTATTACCATTATTTTATGCATATTCTGTTCGGTCGTTGCATTTCAATTAAATTTCAACGCCTTTGTTTGAAGCTTCTCCATCCATTCTAAGGCCCTCTGTTTCCATCCAAGAGTATGAGAGACGGCAAAGATTTTACAGCTTTATTTGGGGAGCTCATAAGAGGGAATCCCTCCATTTCCTCCCTCAAGAGGATATCCAACGTAATCTGGCGAGAAACTCCCTAGATTTATCAACGTCCGCAAGAACTTTCATCGAAAACAAAGGAAAGGCCCATCACTTTTCTCTCGAGTGTGAATCGAAAAAAACTCTGCGATATTAAGGAAAATAATTTTTCGGATCTGCTGACTCAGTTCGTCTGCACGACGAGAAAATAAATGCCCTTGATGAGAAGTTTTTTCTGACATGAAGTTCATATAAATTGTTAGGAGAAGCCATTATGGAAAAAATATACAGTAGTAACTGGATTTTATTAATGGTTTAATTTATTGAATATTTATCATATTAAATGTGAGCAGTTATCTTCTGTTCGATTGTATTATATTAACCTTTAAATCAAGCAAAGACAATAGGATCGCGATCTGCTCTTCAGGCATTTGTCAAATTTTTTTTTTAATTTCTCGCAATTCGTAACGAAAATTTTCATGGACGTCTTTTTAAAGAGAATGAGGATTTCGCATCAGAATTTGCTACTAGTTTACTGAAAATTCGTTTATTATTATTTACTTCTTTTTTATATGCAACAATTTCATTAATTTGTTTATTGAAACTTCTATATTTATAAATCGTGCTGGATATATTCAGCTGAAATTTCATTAATTTGTTTGATGTAATTCTACCATCAACATATATTTTTAGTTCAGTTCTAAACCGATTTCGAATTTTCGCCTGTACATTTAATCAAAACCTCCTCCTTTTAAAATTATTATCGTTGCCGATGCGGCTCCATTGATACATCAGTGACTACTTAGCGTTGTACTCAAAAACTTGTTTTAGTTGCCGCTGTTTAATAAAGTTTTAAAGTTATACACGTAAAATAAATAAATTATACACGTAATGTTCGTCAGAGCGTCTTGGAGGGCTACAACGGAACCGTGTTCGCGTACGGCCAGACTGGATGCGGCAAAAGCTTCAGCATGCAGGGCATCACAGACCCTCCCACCCAAAGGGGCATCATACCCAGGTAGTAAACAGGCGTATTATACATGTGAACTGTATTATTTAATACTATTTATCATGCAGGGCATCACAGATCCTCCCACCCAAAGGGGCATCATACCCAGGTAGTAAACAGGCGTATAATACATGTGAACTGTATTATTTAATACTATTTATCATGCAGGGCATCACAGACCCTCCCACCCAAAGGGGCATCATACCCAGGTAGTAAACAGGCGTATTATACATATGAACTGTAATATTTAATACTATTTATCATGCAGGGCATAACAGACCCTCCAACCAAAAGAGGCATCATATCCAGGTAGAATAGTAAATATGTAAATATGTGGTAATATAAATACATAATACCATGCAATTCAGAGATACCTCCGCATAGAGGAGAATTGACCAATGTTGTGACCATCATCCTAAACATTGCTGCCCGTTATACAACTTATCTTACTTCAGTCATCAGCAAATCTTTTTTTAAATTGAACAATCAATCCTAGATTCTAAGTATTAACAGATATTGACAAAAGCCCAATGTTCTCGGGTGTGTGTTTTTTGCTTTGTCATTAAATTAATGTTTGTTGGTGAGACAAAATGAGGTATAAATTTTTCAACTAGTGATAATTCAAATTTTATGACTAAAAATTTAACGCCACTTTTCTATCAATATTTGCTATTTCATTTTCTGATGATTTCCAACTGGTATTTTCCCCAATTTATGTACAGCATAATAAATTTTTAAAAATAACACTGTTGCTACTATCGATGCTGTTAAAGGTTATCATCCGGTAATTTGGTCACGAGAATTAGAAATAAACGTGCCCATTCCCCCCAAAAACGACATTCACATATATTTTTGACTATTCAATTAGAATTTTCTCTGTTATTGTAATTTTAACGAGGCTAAATTCTTATCTTCTCTATTTTAATAATTCATCCATGTGAAAAATTAAAGCGAAAAAACGATAAAATTATCAATACGATAGAATTCAAATTTTATCGTATTCATTCTACATAAATTATTTTCGCAATTTCTATTTGTTAAGGTTTATGTTTTGTGTTGTTCAGGGCATTCGAGCACATCTTCGAGATGATCCAGACGTCTGCCGACATGAAGTATCTCGTGCTCGCGTCCTACTTAGAAATTTATAACGAGGAAATTCGAGACCTCCTCGGCGACGACGTAAAGAAAAAATTGGACCTCAAGGAGCATCCTGACAAGGGCGTTTACGTTCAAGGTGAGATCTTTTTTATATAATAGTCGATCTTAACTGTACTTGATGTTCCGAAATTACTTTAAATTCCTCAAATGAATAACCATTATTTTGATATCTGATTTAAACATTTTCACTTTAATCTCTATTAGTTTGAGATTTGAATTACAATTTTACTTAGAAAATCAGACCAGCAATCAAATTATTCACTAGAAGGTTTTAGCTACGGTTTAAAATGATTAAAAAATAGGCCGGTAAATTTAAATCGAAGTTCCCTCAAGAGTTTCAATGAAAATAATTTTACTAACCAACAAAATCTATAACTACGGTCTGAATCAATATACATTTAGAGGACGTTATGCTTTATATCAAATTACAAATGCAAATTCCTGGATAAATGTCTGATGAACTTTTATATCTGAACGAACGATATTTGCTATGCACACTCGTGCAATAATTGCTCAGTCTAATCACTTATGTTGTGTACAGCAAGTCGTAAAGTTGTGCTGTAAGATTCATGACGGCACTAGAGCCTTGTTTTGTCGTAGCCAATAAAATCGTTATTTCTTACACGTTGCCAATCCCGCAATATAGGAGCGACTCAGCAACGTGTTATTGACTGCAGTTGCTAAGACTGATATCGATGACACTCGGTTGGTAACGTCGCTACTTTAGCACACATTGGCTGGGTTACAGTGTAAAAAAATCTTCCTCCTGTAAAAGTCGGAATATGTCATCAAAAAATAAATACATTTGGAATTTATTTGTGTTAAAATTATTATTATTTATTTTAATTTATATGTATTTTTATCACTGTATTAAGGACACTTAATCCGATTTGAAAAATCAGAATATCCAATGAGCTAGTGAATAAATTTTTCTAAAGTATTCTATTATATTTAATGAATAACTGATGGATCCAAAATAAGGTTTACAAGCATTCTATTAATAGCATTTAGAATGTAATGGATAATAAGCTCGATATTGAGGTTAGTAATGCGGCGTCTATTCCACGAAGCACTCCAACATAATTAGCAACTGATGAAGCTGTCGTGGGCGATATCGTTAAGACCCTCCGCCCCTCCTCTGCTATTATGCTAATTCATAGCCCAGTGTTTGGGTACAATTAATTTCTGCAAGCCCTTGCATCAACATCATAACAAGCTCTTGCATCAACATCATCACAAGCTCTTGCATCAACATCATCACAAGACATTGCATCAACATCATCACAATTCCTTGCATCAACATCATCACAAGCCCTTGCATCAACATCATCACAAGCCCTTGCATCAGCATCATCACAAGCCCTTGCATCAACATCATCACAAGTCCTTGCATCAACATCATCACAAGTCCTTGCGTCAACATCATCACATGCCCTTGCGTCAACATCATCACAAGCCCTTTCATCAACATCATCACAAGCCCTAGAATCAACATCATCACAAGCCCTTGCATCAACATCATAACAAGTTCTTGCATCAACATCATCACAAGCCCTTGCATCAACATCATCACAAGCCCTTGCATCAACATCATCACAAGCCCAGTGGCTGGATTTAATATCTATGATTCATTAATTTTCTGTAAGATTAGTCTTACTATTTTCTATCACCACAATATGTGTAATTTTCACCGTAAATAAACATTACAAGTCTTCCTTTAATATTATATAGTTTTTACTTATATATTCATTTCTTAAAAAAAACTTTAAAAAAATTCTCTTCAAAAACTTCTTTTCATTTGTTTAAGGCTTCCCATTTGCTACTGCGTCGTAAAGAAACTCATATTCGTGTTGGATTTTATATATATGCATCTGAATTAAATTGATTGAAAATGATTTTAATACATAGTATAAGCATAAATTGACCAATGTCGTTTGTGATTTTTGCTAAGTCTTAAATTCTTTAGCGCTCCACAGTTTCTCCTCCGTCGCTTGATAATCTCTTTTACAGCGAGGCTTCCTCATCAAAGCCTTCATTTTTTCCAGGGCAATGTTTAGTTTCCTTGAACCCTTTAAAAAAATTTATAGTTCCTTAGCTTTTGCTTTCAACGTCGGACTTAATGTTTAATTTTAGCTGATTTTTTCTTGCTCTCATTGCCAGAGTTGAGGATTTTACGTAGAATTCTTCCGTGCTCTGTCCCTCGTTAGGAGAGCAAATTCCAGTTAAATCTTTTCAATTCTTATTAACTTTCCGGAAGAAAAAAATTTAAGGAGCCTTTGGCCATTGAAGTGTCCTGTTAGTTGTTACATATTTTTTAGGAACAAGATTTGAAGTTGGATAACTTGAAAATATATATTATTATATTTATCTGTTTTTTAATTCATTATTGCAGGTAGTTTTTTTCAATTAAGTTAAAGTTATGCATTACAATGAACATTCCATTAGTTTCCAGACAATGCTGCTGATAAATTCCAAAAAAGCTGCAAATTTTTCATTTAATCATAAGTTTCGATAAGAAATAACAAAAATGACAACTTGCTTGGCTGTCACACAAGCATAATATCGAAAAATGACAAATTTAGGATTCAGTGGCTTAATTAGAAATTTTTTCCTACACGTTTATACCCTGAGAAAATTGTTTTGGCGGTTGAAAATTTCTAAATCTTATTTTGATGAAGAGATTGCGTCGGAAATCCAAGCTGCTCCCGAGAGCGAATCTCTTGAGGACTCTTCACGAGGAGACGGATTTTTGTTCCCATTGCGATTGGGAAAAATTATGCAAAAGCAGAAATTCTTCTTCCCATAAATTTGGAATAACTTTTGAGAAGAACAAATTACATTACGACTGTAAGCATAATATTCTATCAGAATATTAACTATTTTGTATTTCAGAAGCGTTCTGAAGATAAATGAGAGCTATTATCATTGCATATTGATTAATGCTCGTACCAATATTTTCCATCTTTCCCTACCGCGCCTCGCTGCCCAGTCTTCAGCCAGCATCCTGTACACAAAATATTAAATAGTCAATTGAAATTTCATTCAAGTCAGTGTGCAATATAGTGCAACATTTAATTAATAAAATCAATTCCTTTTTTTTTTGGAATGGTGAGTGTGGGAGGCCTTTTTTATAAAAAAAAAGATAGTATCTACATTCCAGCAAATTTTACACCATTAAAGCACCAATATTTTCCATCTTTCTCCGCCGCGCCCGCTGTCCAGACCTCAGCCAGCATCCTGTACACAACACGACGGAGTGCGAGCGACTCATGGAGTTAGGCTGGGGCAACCGCTCGACGGGGGCGACGCTCATGAATAAGGATTCTTCTCGCTCACACTCCATCTTCACCATCTGCCTCGAGATGATGAACACTACAGGCGAAAACGACACCATTCGGTCGGGGAAACTCAACCTGGTCGATCTGGCTGGAAGTGAACGGCAGGCCAAAACAGGTCAGTGGTTTTGAATGTTTTATTTCGAGTCTTTTTCTTTTATAAATTATATTTTGCAAGCCAGTTAGTGTTGCATTATTTATATGTCATTAATTTTGCTCAAAAAATTTTTGAGGCAATTTTCCACTGTACGGCATGTAAAAAGAAGCAAGGACTACGATGGTCTCACAAAATTTATTGATGGAAACCTTCCCTTAGAAATTGAAATTTTGTTTCTCTTATTCACGGCCAATAATTATTAAATCGTTTCACTTATCGATTCAGCGACGCTCACGAAGAAATTTGTCGTTTCTTTATTTTTTCTCAAAGTTTTCTAGGTTATTTTAATTTCTCCAAATTAATTATCGAATGTTTTTGGATGAAGCTCGGCAGTTTTCGAGATTTAATTACAAGTCGTTGATGTTTGAAGATATTGACTTGACGGCTCGTAACGAAGTTTTTACTACAAAATCACTAGGGGTGAGTTAATGAAGAAAGTTTTCTACTTTCCGAGGCTCGTGAGGAGTTCTCAAGAGCTGATCTCTGCACTATTATAATCCTTAAAAAAAATCGTCGCCTCGGATCTTCTTTCAATCAATTAATTTTTTCTTCCTTAATCGAAACTTCATTGTAAGAGCCCAAATAATTTTCAGTTGATGAGGTCTATTGTATTTTGACAATCTCTTGATAATTTTAGTTCCATGATGGAACGAAAAATTTGCTCATGAAAACACAAATATAAAGCAGGTGAACACCAGATGAATTTTTACGTGGTTATGAAATTCTTAACTCAAACTTAGTTCAAACGTTGAGATGGTTAATCAACCGTATATTTTCCTGCGTATAATATTTTATTAAAAAAATTCTGCATCGCTTGCCTGTTGATAGGGAATCGGTTGGGACAATAAGCTGTAACTACAATTTTTACGAAGCTACATAAATATAAAATAATCTCCTCCCACAGCCTTTCTATAATCCATGTTTTCGAGTTCCACGCATTTGCGTTTTTTTTCGACTTTTTGGCGCTGGAGTTTCCTAGTCTCGATATCGGTTCTGGTGACCCAGGTCCACTAACCTGATGATTCGATTTCGGAAAGAGGAAGAAGAGTCGAGTGTGTGTTTTTGTGTTTTTTTTTTTTTGAGGGAGAATGGGAACTGAGTCGCAGAAAATTTCAACAATCGTTTGAAAACGTATTGTTTCCTTTGGAATGACAGTAGAATCAGTACTTCTTACCTGCTGATCAATTAAACTCGATAGACATTTTTTTCCGACCGCAGGCAACAGAGATGATCATTTGTTTTATTTTCCTTAATTCAAGATGTGTCTTCTTTAATGAACTTCTCGCCTCTTCCATGTGTTTTATTTTAATTGATATTACCTGGGGTTCAGTGCATTTAATTTCCTTTGCACCCGCATTTCGGTGAGTATTAACGCATTTTAGTATTTTTTTCTCCTTTTGCGCTTTTTGTTAGTGCCGTTCATTATTTCTTTATGCCATTTCCTTCACATATCGTGCAATTTTGAAATGCGTTTCCATTTTCAGGAGCGACTGGTGATCGACTGAAAGAAGCAACCAAAATCAATCTCTCGCTCTCCGCTCTGGGCAACGTCATATCAGCGCTCGTCGACGGCAAGAGTAAACACATTCCGTACAGAGACTCGAAGCTCACCAGACTTTTGCAGGTCAATGAAATTATTTCCTTTCCAACCCGAAGGCATGAATTTTACTTTAATTCAGATTTAAACATACAAAGGCATTCAAACATTTTCAAACCGAATGCATAAATTTTACTTTATTTCTGATTGAAACATACATAGATATTCAAACTCATTCAAACGCACACGCCGTACAAAGACTCGAAGCTCACCAGACTTTTGCAGGTCACTGAAATTATTTCCTTTTCAACCCGAAGGCATGAATTTTACTTTAATTCTGATTGAAATATACAAAGACATTCAAACACACACGCCGTAACGTGACCAGAAGCTTACTAGATTTCTGCAGGCCACTGAAATTATTTTCTATCAATGCAACTTGAAAATGAATTTCAGAAGAATTTCAATTAGAAAAATGTTAAGGGTTAGATCTTCTTTATTAGGTGATTTATTTTTTCTGTAGGGGCTATGCATTTTCTTCTTTATGTTAAAAATTTATTATGGTGGTAATAATTTATTATTATTATTATGTGTTGTAAATGTCTATCTAAATGTACACTCTAGGAAACAGTTGCTCTCTAATTCATTCTTTTTTAATTAAACTATTGAACTTCCATGAATACCTCGTAGTGAATTATATTTTGAAAAATACCACTAATAAATTAAAATCCATCATCCCTAACCCTTAATTACTATTAAATAATATAAATTATTCCACAATTTTGAAACTTCTCATCGGATTCACCAGGACTCGCTTGGTGGCAACACAAAGACTTTGATGGTAGCATGCCTCAGTCCAGCAGACAACAACTACGACGAGACGTTATCCACGCTGCGCTACGCCAACAGAGCCAAGAACATCAAGAACAAACCCAAGATTAACGAGGACCCCAAGGATGCCATGCTCAGGGAGTACCAGGAAGAGATCCAGAAGCTGCGGCAAATGCTGGAGCAGCAGGGACCTGGAGCAGGCTTAGGCATCTCTGGAACTGCAGGAATAAGTAAGTTTGATAGTAAAGGTGGAAGATGGAGCAGGCTTAGGCATCTCTGGAACTGCAGGAATAAGTAAGTTTGTTAGTGAAGGAGAAGGTAATATATTGTTAATCAATTGGCAGCTAGAAAATGTTGCCTAATACGTGTATCTGCTATTCAATGAGGAGGTATTAGATCATTAATTATTCATCGGCACCTAAGAAATGCTAGGCATAGTATAAACAAGTCGATCGTAAAGCAGATAAAAATATATCATTAATCAACTAGCACCTTAGAAATACGGGAAATGGAATAAATTTGATGGCTAAAACGATGGAAATAGATAGTTTATCAAACGGGCCTATGGGGAAAGCTAGACATGATATAAAAAGATCGCTAGCCAAGGAGAATGAAATAGGTCAATTATTCTCAAATGGCGGCACGTAAATTCTATGAGTACAATAAGTAAGTCCGTTGGTCAATCAGAAGAAAGTAGATCATTAACTCGCCAGCAGAAAAAATAAATGACGGACATGGAATATGTCGGTAAAAATTATAAGTGGGCCATAATTCAAAAGGAAAACAGTATATTTTTAGATAAATAATCTGAAAAGTCTTTCGTTCCAGCACCAGTAAAAAAAATCACATGGCAATCAATCTGTTCCTAAATCATCTGAGATATGAGATGATGATCCAAAAAGATGAGCATTAGCAATTTCTGGCCCGAGATCAACATCTTTGGTGGAGGGAGGGAAGGGTGTCCTATATACTGCAATATTTTCAAGCCTCCGGGGGACTTCCATCGTTCATTTCTATCGCGAATCAGCGATGCGCGCGGGCCAAAAGTTCGTCGAGAGGTTCGCTTGGGAAAATTCGAAGGTCTTGCTACGGGAAATTGGATCCTTTTTACGGAAGTTTTGCCTTTGTGCAGACGACCAAGAAAATCCGCTTTGTTGTCAAGGACAGAGAAGAGAGAGATAAAAGTCGCGGCAAAAGGCTAACAATGTGAAGAAACGCTGACGCGCGCCTGAGCCAGAGAATTGCGCTCCATTATTTTCCGAGAAAAGGCGCTAAATTACACGTGGTATTAGAGAAGTGGAATTATTTCCTCGAATGAGCAGACGATCAAAGAAAATTTAATTGACAGAAATGTATTTAATTTCACAGTAAGAAGTCGTTCAAGTCACTCGTCCTGTGACTGAACGTACGATTTAACGTCAAATGTCGAGAATAATCTTAAGAGGTTGCAACTTGGAGACAGTTTTTATCAATTAATCTACATCCTGATGAACGTAAAATTATTTACCCAAGTCATTTTAGTCCTTTGAGTCAAAAATCATTATGCCTTATATTCGAGGCATATCTTAATATTTCTCAATACTCTTAACTCTGCAAAAAAAATACATATCAGAGTTCCCTGTTTAAGGCACAATTAATTCTCTTAACTCAACCAAAATGTAAATTGTATATTAAAGTTCCCTGTTCAGCCACAATTCCCCCCTACAGAACGACAATTTCTATATCAAAGTTCCCTGTTTAGGCACAATTCTCTTAACTCTACAGAGCAACAAATTCTATATCAACGTACCCTGTTTAGGCCACATTTCCTTTCCAGTGGCCGTGGCCGCCCCGCCAGACGAGAAGGCGCTCGAGGAGGAGCGTGAGAAGGTGAGGCTGGAGTACGAGCAGAAGATGCAGGAGTTGAAGAGGGAGAAGGAGGCTGAGGCCAAGAGCAAGCAGGCCATGCAGTCCCAAGTCGATGAGATTAGGAAGAAGTATGAGCGCGAGCTGGCAGCGGTCGCTGAAAAGGCGCGCCTGCAAGTGAGTGTATATCGCGCTTTAAACTTTTTAAATTCGCTAGTCAAGGAGAATGAAATAGATCAATTCTCAACTGGCGGCTCATTAGTAATTTTATTTGTCAGTAGTATTAGTAATAGTATGAATTTACAGGCGCTTTATATAGCTATATAATTCGCATCGGAGGTAGTTTTTAAGTTACATTAATTTTTTCGTGATATAAATACGACTTGATAACTAGTAAACCGTTTATTAATTTTTTTATTCTTTTGTAAAAGTTAAATTTTCTACTTGGTGTATTTGCTGCATAATTGAATGCTTGTTGTTTGGAAGCTGGATTAAATATCCCTTGTTTTGAGAAATTTTTTGGATATTTCGAAAATTTCATTGATATATCAGAAAAGTTTAGTAATATATTTGGATATTTCGAAAATTTCATTGATATATCAGAAAAGTTTAGTAATATATTTTAACTGTATATTAATTGACGTTTACATGAATCAGAGAGAAAATGAAGACAAAGAAGCCATTCTCCAGAAGAACCATCTACTGTTATTATTCTCTCTCTCAAAAGAATATTTTTAAAATATTCTCTTTAGCAGTCTTAAGTTTAATTATTAAAGTACTTAGCATATTCAGAAGCTGTAAACATATTTTGCCCCGGCATTGATGTCATGATATACATTGAACAATATAACCACACTCTGATTTACGAAAAATATACCCTGACTTTTTTCAATGACGCAATTACGAAGCATCAAGACAATAGACATTGCATACAATAACAAGAAGCAATTGACATTGTATCAAGTCATTTGATTCAAAAACACTGACAACTTCAACGGTTATATTTCGCTTACTCTAAGCCCTAAGGCTAATATTGTATAGCAAACTATAAAATTCCACTAATTAAAAATATTTATAACTTTGTGGAATCCTCGTATTTTCATCACATCGTAACTTCGTTGCATCATATTATCTCTGCCACGATTTTGATCACTCATAACATCATTGACATCATTTTGCCTCACATTATCTCCGACACTGTCTTCATCGCGTTGTAACATTATTGCATCACGTTATTCCCGCCATTATTTGATCACCTAGTAACATCACTGCATCACATCATCACTGTACTTACGCTGATCAAAGAGAAACCCCTTCTCGTCTCCAGTAATTCACTCCGTGATAAGTCCACTTTGCTATGACGCCAGCCGCCTCAGCCCAGCCATGTTCTCTGTCCGGTAAAAAAGCGATAGAGGAAAACAATGAATTGTTCCTTGGTGATATTGCCGCGCCTGCGATATCAATAGGCCTATTTTTCTCACATAGCAAGAAGAATTTCTACGGCAACAAGAAGAACAACAGCGGCTGTCACAGCAACAACACAGAGGCAAGAACAAGAGCGGTGTAACTCCAGGAGCAATAGTGGACGGGTATGAGGAGGACTGGGAGACTGACACTGTAGAGGATATAGAGGAAGCTGACAGTGAAGGAAGAGGGAAGAAAGATAAAACTCCCATCACCATCGGGGTCTTGAAAATGTGAGCTTAAAATTGTTTTATTTTTTGAGAGAAATAAAATTGTTTTTCTGTGTTCTATGTATATTGACCGTCAATTGTTAATTATATTGTTTATGACGTACAAATTTATTGTTTGTTACAAGTAAGGAACTAATTTCGGATAATTTAATAACCTATTAGAAATGTGAATTTTCCCGTATGAACACTGAAAAAGTAACAGTGAACAGAGTAGAAGAACATCAAATAATCGCTGTAAAATTTATGCATGATCGCTCATTAATTCATCCTCTGATTATTCATGTGCACCGCACAAAATTCATTGTACACAGCACAGTTTGCATTTGATTAGCAATTAAATCTTAAATTCTTTGTGTGTGCAGGAACACCCAACATAATCAGCTTTCTCAGGAACAGAAGGAAGCTTTGAAAAGGTGAGCCCAAGAATAGAATTTATGAATAATTTATTCACCTAGATATTTCCTTAAAATTCTTTGGTTTATAAGTAAATAATTGCAAATTTCTACCCAATGCTCCAGCAATAGCTTGGATCGCGAGGCAGATCCAGAATAACTTCAAGTCGAGCGTTGCAAGTCCTGGGCAGAAACCTAAGCGTTATCCGAATTTTGTTGGGACCAGGTTTACCGAACGACTGTTGAATTGTCTTAGAATTATTTCACACAAAATCATTGAATCCCATGAACGAGCCTCTGATGCACATTCTCGCCAAGCCAAGTAAGTAAAGCAATGCTTATTGCACGTAAAATATGGTTAATTTGTTAATAAAGAAATTTCTTGCCTGACTATTTACAGACTACGGGAGATCCAGGAGAAAATGGTGGGCGGTGAACGGAAAGAAGATAAAGAACTTAAAGCCAAACGACAGAAACGCAAGAAATACATGGAAAAACGTATGAAGATTTTAAGCCAGGCTTTGAATCATGTTGATGACGAGGACGGAATAATGATTAAGGTCTACGATGATATACACGAGGAGCTTAGGGTTAAAACTGAGCTGGCTAAGAAACAGAAGCAGAAGGTGAGTAGAATTAGTTAAATGAAGTAAGAGTTACTTTAAAAATGAGTGAAGACCTCTTTTGAGTGATTAAAAAAGAAAAAGTTGGTGTAGAAGGTGGATGATGACCATTTTAACGCTAAAAAAATAAACTCTCGTTCCACAAACGTTCCGAAAATTTCCATTGAGACGGAGTGTTTCTAATCAAAATTAATTAATTCCTATGTTTCATAAATGACTGCCTTAAATATTTATCCTGATCATGAGTTAATTTTCACTTCGCTATTCTCATTATTATAAATGAACAATTGCACACACTAATAAGTGTCATGTCGTAAACGCTATTTCAATAAAACAGTTCGAATAAAAAGTGATCAAAGCCTGCAGTATTTAATTTGAATTATTTCATATAATTAATATAATTATAATAATATTTCATTCTCACCCTCAGATCAAAACTTTAGAGGCGGAAATCGAGGACATCACCAGCGAGTTCCAGAACGAACGCACCGACTATCTGGAGACCATACGCAGGCTGGATATATTTATTAAGTCGTTCATGTTTATGGCATTTAATTAGCCTGAATTGTCAAACTAAAGCTTATTGTGGATATTAAAATGCAATGTAAATCGCCGATCATAAATTGAAATATTCAACGTAATATACACAGTAATTTAATTTGTTCCATGATGGCATTAATGTGTGTGCCACGGGTTTCAATCGTATAGGACTGGAATAGCTCAAAGAAACAAACTAAATCGAATCAGTCACGATGCTACTATTTGCTGGAAATTTTTGATATACAAAATAAAAATTAATTTTTCTAATAATGATGGGAAAAATACAAGTATTCAACTACAGCGTTTCTGATCTTTCTCGAGTCGGCAGATGCATCTAAAAATCATGTCTCATCAGAACTGAATAGTTTACAGTTCCTTCGTACATTTTTATATAAGCAGATTTATGAAGAAGACTATTGATCTTTTATTTTTCTATATTTTTTATAATTGCTTCTGAAACTAGTCCAAATTATATAAGAATTTTCCAGCCTGTTCCCTGTCAAGGGATATCTTAAATGTTATTATTCAACAACACTCAACAACATTATTATTCTCAAAGGTGCAACCGACAATCAGAAGAGACTGCAACTACAGCACATTGGACGCCATCAAGAAAGAAGCCATATGGGACGACGAGTATCAGAGATGGAAACTGCCAGACCTTGCAATAGTTAAAACTAAACTACCACCGGCCGGTGAGTACACATTCATATTCTTGTCTAATAACGTAGAAGATTATTCTATATTTTTTTCTTTACTATTCGGATTCATACGCCTTGTTCAACAGTAGTTCGATTAGAAATTTAATCCAACCTTTTGTAGTCGTTGATATAATCTTGGAAACTATTCTTGATCTTGCCTCTTTATTCAAGTAAAGAGTTGCCAGTTGCCTGTTCAGATAACGGTGAGGTGGTTGTGTAGTTTAGATTACTTATTAATCAAGTATAGAACTGATATAAAAATAACTCAATTGTATATCATATTAATTACCAAAATACTACATTTTGGAGTCTTGATTTACTCGCATAGCATGACTATTTTCATCAAAACTCGGTACCTTCGGCAGACTAATAATTTGAGATACGTGTTATGAAATTCATGGTCATTATAATAATTAAATTTCACAATAATTATTAAATTTATTATTATGATTATTCGTAACATGACGCAGATAAGTACAAAAGTTTACATCTTAATGATCACCTCCCATGAATGTATCATGCAAATCATTATTCTCATCTAAATCATTCGCAACAAGACCTGTCTCTTATACACATCTAGATGTGTATAAGAGACAGCATTAGTCAACCATTTACCATTTCCACGTTTTGCTTTCANACGAGGCTCTGGAACACAATCGAGGTTTTGAAATACAAACGAGGTCTTGGAACACAAACGAGGCTCTGGAACACAATCGAGGTTTTGAAATACAAACGAGGTTCAGGAACACAAACGATGTTCAGGAACACAAACGAGGTTCTGGAACACAAACGAGGCTCTGGAACACAATCGAGGTTTTGAAATACAAACGAGGTTCAGGAACACAAACGATGTTCCGGAACACAAACGAGGTTCTGGAACACAAACGAGGTTCAGTAACACAAACGAGGTTCTTGAACACAAACGACGTTCTGAAACACAAACGAGGGTTCTGGAACACAAACGACGTTCAGGAACACAAACGAGGGTTCTGAAAACGAGGTTCTGGAACACAAACGAGGTTCTGGAACACAAACGAGGCTCTGGAACACAAACGAGGGTTTTGTTTCGTTTCAATTTGTGGCGACATCGCTTGCCTCGAGGGAATTGCCGCCTTCAAGTCGAGGTTCAGTTCTGTCGCCCGTGTTGCCGTTGCCTCGCATCTGCATTTCTAATTCAGCCTTGTCGTCGAATTCGTTCGAAAGCTTACGTGGTCCAATACTTGCATCGAACATGATTCATGAAACTTGGTTCGATTTCACCATTATTATTTGAAAAAATATAAATACGCTTAAATTAATGGATTAATTTAAACTCCGATAGTTATCGAGAGTTCGTTTTCGACTAAAATTACAGACAGAGATTAAAATTACGAGCATATTTGATATGTATAGAAATATTTTTTCTTTGTCCTCAAGGGAAAAATAATATTGACATAAAATCTGATTTTTGTCAGTATTCGATGCAACTGAAGTATTTCGCCATCACGCGTGGCCATTACACACTTTAGTGTTATTATTATGGTAATTTAATCGTCGCACTTTTCAGTTGAAGTAGAATATCGAAATTGTTGATTAAGTACCAATTTTGAAATTTAAATGATAAGTTTCGAAATAGATCTCACCTTGCGCATGGTGTCCGGAGTGTTGTGAGTTAACCATTCCAAAGCGAGTGTAAACGAGTGGGGTTTAGAGGATCACTCATTGTCATTTGTTTATTCCAAAGGATTCCTATCCTCATGTTCTAAAAATGTTATAGGGGAAAATGAATTGACAATGCCAATTGCGCGATCCTTGGAACTGATGTATCACATGGAAATTCAAGCAAAAAAAAAATTATAATAACATTTAGTTAAAGGTTTATTTGGCTGCAGGTTTCATGCATGCTGTTTTTTCTTCGCGAAAAAATTCCTTTTATGAATGAAATGGACAAGCATTTCTAATTAAATAAATTGTAGAGTTACGTTTTCAGTAACTCTTATTCACCTATGTTGCTCTTTTCCTGGAAATAAATTGCAATGTTATCTCAAGTCTTATCTTAAATGTAGGCCGCGAAATGGGTACCTGTCTGAAGCGCAAGGAAATCAAAAACTACTTATCATAACTGCATTCTACTGTAATGTGAAGGCGATAGTAATACACTTGAATTGTTCATATGAACTAAAACATTCTCAAGAGGTGAAAATCTACACACTTATATTTACCTAAACTAACCTACTCTACTAGTGTCTCCGCCCTGCTCGAGTGGGTAATTTTAGAGCCAATTTTCCCAGGGAAGAGTTTCGCACGAGCACAAAATCCAAATCGATAGGGTATCAATCTGCCATTGAATATTATCGATAATTAGTATTGATATTCAGACATAAATCGTTGATCGGTTTACCGATAAATCAAGTTTAAGGCATCAGGAATAAACGATTCCGCCTCAGCGTCAAAATTAATACTTCAATGTTGCAACCGTACTCCTAGTGCTCATTTTCGCGTGTATGCGCTATCCGGTCTTACTATTGCACTTGCTTGATCTCTAAAATTATTCTCTTTCAAATCTCTAACACCGCAACAATGTCATTGTCTTAAAGATCAAAATATTTTATAATATATACCTACATCTTTTAAATCTATTCACTGACTGGTGCTTAAAACCTTATTAATGAAAGGGAAAACTGTCACTGCATGAATGAAAGCATGTTTTTGACTGTTTGTGCAGTATAGAAAGTAATTAATATAACATACCTGCATGTTTAACAATTTTTATCAATTTTAAACTTATTTTCTCGAAGGATCAAACAAATTTCAGCGACGAGTGGCAGAGAACATTTCTCTAGTCATATTTCCTCCACAAGGGAAAATTGTCGTTGATAAAAACCTTCATTACTAATAAATGTTTTTGAAACAACATTTAATCAACACTATTTCAATGTCAGACGCCTAGTGGTGATCTCCCGCTTACCTTCTCTTTGTAAAATCGAACGGTTCTCAGCCGTAGGCCACAAGAAAAGATTCTCATCTTCTTGACAATTTTGAATTGTCATCAATGCAAAAGCACTGACCTGTTCTGTTACAATGAGCGTGAGAGTGTTACGATTATTACAATTTAATCGCTGTCTGTTTATTAAATAAAATTATGGGAAACTATAAAGAACGTGTTGTTGCACGATCGAAATTTTAACGAACCAACTCAATGCCATGTTCCTCTCAAATTTTGTTCTAGTTCTAGCCAGTCTAAGAAATTCATTCGATTTCTAAAACAGCAATATATTGAGGAATTATCATGTGGGGTTTCTAAAGAATTCAAAATACTTATGCCTAAAATTAATTTTATATATTCTAATACGGGATAACGTTTTTTCGTCTAATTAGACTAATTACCCTTAACGATTCAACGTTTAAAAAAGTTTACCGTCTTCGTTTGCATAGCAGGATGTAAGCAAAGTTGTGTGCTAATATAGTTGAAAATTTAAGGCATTTAACGATTTTTCATTTTCATTGGTTTGAGAGAAAGTTAATTGAGTGAAACTTATTAAAACTTTTCGAGTGCACGCCACTTACAATATTTAATTCAGGTATTCACTTAGATTTTGATCGTATTATTGTTCATAGGAGTGGAACGCCCAAAGTTACTTGATGCATTTTGAAAACTTGCCTTAAATCGAATACCAAAGAAGGGACTCTTGAAAAAGATTCTGCGTCTAAATGCCTGAAAGTTTTTCTTCGGATTGTTATATGTCAACAATGAATTATGTTTGTGATGTTTGGACAATGTCTTTTGTTTACAATTAGAAGAATGAGGGAAGGTTCCCCCTGGATGAAAGACTGTTAAGGGCTATCATATTGATTAGTTGTCTTCACTTTGCAAAATTACGTACAGTATTCATTAAAGTACCAGTTATTGAATAATTTTTCTAGAATTAAAATAATAGCATAAGGGTAGTTTGATCATCTCTATGTTTTAAACACTTTCCATGCCCGATTCAAGGTAACATATTAAGTTGTGCGTAGGTAGTCCTGTAACATGGTATATCTGAAGATATTGAAGTGCATTCGTTGTACATAGTCCTACCTAAAATTAAAGCTGCGTAACTGAGATGAATTAAACTCAAAGTCTTCGTATTTCTCCTTAATTCAAACAATTACTCCCATTTGCATAATTTATGCTAGAAATTGTTGCCAGTTGATGGGAATTTGCATAGTAACAATTATAGTTGAAAGGCAAAAAGTTGTGTTCGTTTTGTAGATCAACTTTGAAAAAGAAAAATGTAAAATTCTACGTACTTTGCTCCGAACATTCACTTTACTGCACAATGAGCTCGTGGTGGTAGAAGTGATGTAAAGCAGTCTATATTCTCTTAAAGTGATTGAACATTATCAGGTATGGTATGTATGCCTTTCAAAATCTATAGTTTCAAGTTACCACGGCGTATAAAACTTTTTGCATCTAAGAACAAAATGGTTTAACTTTATGTTTCCATAAATTAGTCCTTTCTACAATTATTTCTAGGTTTATTTATATAATTATGCAATTTTTTATGATTCTATTAGAACTACAAATGCATCTAATTTCATGTGTGCTTCTTCATAATGAACCAGCATGCGTCCTTTGGCTTTTGCTCTCTGCACGCTATCTCTATCCATTGTCATGCTCATATTCACCTCATAAATTTTTCATTGATTTTGTCAAGGCTGATATTTAGTATAGGCTTTTTCATGCGCTAATAATCTAAGTTTGGCTTTTTCAAATGAATCTATTCATCTCCTACATTCAATTTGGCATAATTTTTTAATTCATAATATTTTTTGGAATAGTCTTCGAATTTCCGAAATTTTCGGAATCATTTTTTAAATAATGCAGCACTGCTATTCATTTGCATCTACTTCACGGAACTTGGATACAAAATTCTTGAAATTTATAATTTCATCAGCTTCCTTATTTAACGTTTCGAAAATTTATTGTTGCAGAGCACTTTTGTTGCCTGTATTGGTGAAAAATCAAATAAAAATATTTTTAATATGAATAATTTCACATATATCGTGTATTTGCTTGAAGATAAATTGCCGAATAATTTAACACAACAATTAACACAACAATAATTTAATGTGCAACAATTTCACCTACTTAATTGTTAAAATAAGTCTATAACATTGTCATTAGTTTTTTAGGAGGAATCGCATGCAAATATAAGACTGGAACTAAGTTAATATTATAATATTATCGATCGCCATAATCTTGATCCAGGAGGACTTTTTGTTATTTTTTCAGTGATTTTTATATTCGTTGTAGTCTAATGTACTAACGTGGTGATTTTTCCAAGGTAAGGTAATGATTATAAAAACGATCTCAATCAGCTAAACAGTCATCCCAGCAATTGCACACGGTCTATTAGGTTATTTTATCTCAACGGTGTTATCTCTATCTTTTTAATCTTTATGAAAATACATGCTTCAGTAATCCAAACTTATTTCAAGAAAAATTATTCTTCAACATTAACATTTTAACTCCGGAGATGTTCACACATTTTAACCCCAGGCTGACGCTCGCTATTTTGAGGTGCACTTTATAAAACATCAACGATAGTGATTTATTACGATTGTACTTTTTAAAAAGCATTTTCACAAATAAATTGCTTGAAAATTTTTATTTATATACTTATTGATATTTATTACAGCACAAGACGAGTATGAATGAAATTTCAGTCAATTAAATTTATTAGATTAGATTTAAACCATCTCGATGATTCACTTCTTCTTCATAATAAAAGCATCCGTAATTTAGTGATCGGAGAATTTATCAAACATTCGTTTACCGAAATTTATGGATGGCTTTAATGACGCCCTAGTAGTTCATTAGTATTTCTTATTTATTTGCAATTATTTACTTGATGTTCTCGTTGAATTTATTCCAGTGAATTATTGCTCTCTCTATCTACATAACATAGACTCAATTTGATAAGCCTTCATCCTTCTCCGACTGCCTAATAATTCCTTTTTCGATCACCACTGCCTCGATGTTATTCTGTCAATAACCACTTCTAGTCGTCGACATGCTTGCCACTGCTTACCCCCAATCCGTATGGAGTGAGGCTCCAAGGTTTGTATGCTCCAAGAATCGGAACCCTGACTGTTCCCTCTGGCAGGTCTGAATGGCTCCATGACTCAGAACCCTGACTGTTCCCTCTGGCAGGTCTGAATGGCTCCATGACTCAGAACCCTGACTGTTCCCTCTGGCAGGTCAGAACATCTCCATGATTCTGAACCCCGACTGCTCTTTCTGACAGTTTTGAATGGCTCCATGACTCTGAATCCCGACTGCTCCCTTTGAGGATCTTTACAGCTGCATGACTCTGAACTCCGACTGTTCCTTCTGGCAGGTCTGAACGGCTCCATGACTCTGAACCCCGACTACTTAACAAGCATCTCAAACAGTAGAAACAAGCCAAAGAATCATCGATCCAATGGAATGGTCTACTCCAACCGGTCGCCGGAAGAGCCAGATAGTGGCACAGGTTCAGCAACTTATTCCGGCTACAACTCGGGAATTAATAGCGTCAATAACAGTTTCAATAGAGGCTATGATGATGGGGTTGACAGTCTTGGTAGTTCTTTGATAAGCAACTCCAAGAACCTTGGACCATCGGACGTCGTTCAGCGAGGAGGAAGGCATCCGTCCCAGACAGCCCCTGCGAGGCTCGGCATGTGGGAGGACGAAAACGCCGAGGACAAATTTTTGAAGGTGATGAGCGTGCGCTGCTGATAATGTTGTGCACAAATTGCGAAATCCGATGTAGCTTCATCATGTAGAAATAAAGTGATCTATTCTGAACCAAGTGAATTTTATTATTGGAGGTTTCATAGGTTTTGCTTCTGTATTAATATCTTTTATTTATCAACGAAAATTAGCAGAAAAGTCAACATCGGAATTTTTTCGGTCGATATGATTCAAATCACTTTTAAATAAATATTCCTATGGGAAATGAAAACTGGAATAATTGAATGCTAAAAATTGGAACGCTTTATGGAAATCAGTCTATGAATGCTTTGGTTTAAGTGAAGGTAAGCTGCTCAATTATTAATTACTATTGATTATTTATAATCCTTGCAAATTGGGAGTTGCGTAATTTCTTTATGCATGTTTTCCAGCTTGACACGTATTAGCATAACATATTTATTTTTTGCGCATGGATTGCCTGAATTTCTCCATCTTTTATTTTCTCACTACTTTTGAACTTTTGGTACTAGCATGTATTTTTTTCGGTACCCTCTGATATTTCTTCTCTTGTCACTTCTTTGTGTGAATTTGATATTTTTTTGTCGCAGTATTATGTTATATATATTTATGCAAACATATTTATATTCTCATATATCGCTGTAAAAGATATATTTACCTGCCTAACCATGCGCTGGAAGCTTAAGTTTCTTCACGCTTAATGGCTTTCAGTAACTCAATTTAGAACTGAAATCTGTTTCCCTTATCTGAGGGAAATGCATGAGAATTTACGGAACGAAAGAATTGCGAAGATATTATACACGCGATTAAAAATTCAGATTCATTAGTAAATTGCAGTATTTATTTTATTTCAATTTAAACCGTTTTCCAGTGATTTCACAAATTATCTAATTTGAGGAGTAAATTAATTATTATATTTTGATTCAATTGGTTCTCATTGACTATCGTCATCGGCCGCAACACAACTTATTTATTCGCGATGGAGCTTTTGACTTGAAATTTCAATCGAGACCCGCTCGCTTTTGCCGCAATTTTGCTCATTATTATGCACACCCAAGCCGCCACATGACACTTTGAACACGCATTTCTATCACTAAATTTCTCAAAAAATCATAAATAAATGAAGTTCAATTAAAATGAAAATTACTAGTTTAATTGGCTGGTGGCAGGGGAAATTAATTAGTAAACTCGGTGGAGTCGTTGGTGAGAAGTAATTAAAAATGACCCAGATAAGAATTTTTAGTATAAAATCTTAGGACTTGTAAACAAAAGTTAGACGGCGGGAACGAAATTAACATTTCAAACAATTCTCATCGATGACATCTGCGCCTGTCATTGATGGATTAAAAATATGTTCCTTGTTTACTTTCCAAACTTTTGAACGCAGAAGCTCAACTTCCAATATGAATCGAACTTATTGCATTACTTAAAGCGAATATGTTCGGGAATTAATTATAAAACTTAAAGAACTGAATATTATGACTGATATCATTTATTATCAAAGACAAGGAAATATGAATGTGATATCATAGACTGAGATGAATAGATTCTAACCGATTAAAATTAATATTTATAATTTAGATGCAGAAAAATGTTCCATTTTACTGAATAGCCTTGCCATAATTCTATCAACTATCACAATTCGAATATTACTATTAGATTTGCATTAATAAGTCACTACTTGCATAAAATAATATTTGCAAATAACCTTTCCATTTATTACTCGCACGATACATCTAATTTAGGCTCCCAGGCACGAAAACACGACTTCTGCTACAAATATTCATTGCTAACGACCGCCTGTTAGATTTGTTGACAGCGCGAGCTGACATCCGGGCAGCCTTTGATGTTTTCTTCATATTAGTCACTATCGCGACGCGTTTCAATATATTACCTCTGTTGTGATCATGATATTATATTTTTATCATGCATCAGTATTAAATTTAATTGCAATGCGTATAATTTTCACGAATTTACTCAATATTGCTATGCGTGTGATGATGACATTATATCCCCTTGAATTCAATACTTTTGATTGTGATGTTAAAATTGGAATAACAAATTTGAAACTGTTTGAATACGACAAAGATGTTATTGCTGATAATTTGATACTCTTTCGAGTGTATTGACAGGATTGATACACGTGTGATTAAGTTGTATCAGGTAAAACAGTGCTCGTATTTTTATTATTCAAGTCATAATGCTGGACAATTCTCACCTATTCGCTGCTATATTGCCGTTTTAAGAATCCGATTAAGTTTTTGTGGTGATCGCATGCAATTATTGCTGTTATTACACATTCTGCAAATGATTTAAGAGCATCTTACCTTATTTCGAAAATTACGTTGCATGAAATAGCGCCATTTTCATGACACTGCGATAGAGCGTCATTATTAATTCGCCCTCGGAAATTCTAAATTATTCCCAGATCCCTTGACAATTTTTAATGCTTCAGTTATTGACAATTTTTAATTTGTCGTCAGATGACAAAAGTATCGTTGATGAACATTATTAGGCAGTGTCCACGATGGTAAAAAAAGGCTTAATGAATTTACCATGTGAATTTTGTACGGAATGGGCAATTTCAGCAGAATTGGTCCACCTAATAATTGAGCACTTTTATTCTTCGAATTATTGTATCAATAATTCAGGCTTAAATTAACTCACCTAAAACAAAATGTTGAATTAAGCAATAAATCAAAATTTAGACAAAAACTGCCTTGTAATGCAATTTAAATCCTCTAATTTGATTTATTTCCTATATCTAGAAAAATAAAAGTCATGATCTCATCCAATTCAGTTGTTGTTGCCATAGTTGCCTGGTATCCGTTGCCGGATATCTAAATATCCTGTGGATATTGTCGTTTGGAGCACCAAGGCGCACCTGTGCAGAGATAACCTTCGTACTAATGGCCAATTTGAGACCAATGTGTACCCTCGCAAATTGTCTCTAATGACCCGACACAGAATGCAAAATTGCTGTTACGTTGCAGATATGTTCCGTCGTCGAGCAGTTAGTCGAGATGCACTTCCTTATCGGTAAAAAATTGCCATGTTTGGGAGCAGCAAATATTCTCGCGAAAACATCATTGAAATCTCTACTAATTTCAAACAATTTATAGCATGACTAGCAGCAAGTGCATTCAATTTCATTTAGTTAATTTAACTTCCTTCTGTTTATGTGTGAGTGAATCAGGTACTTTGGATTTGTGTTGAACTTCAATGTGTTATTTATACGTTCAGTTTCTAAAGTTTGCGGTATCTGAAGTATATTGCTGAAACTGTTTTTCACTGAACAATTTCTATACAAGGAATGCTTGTTATACGAGTAAATTGTCAGAGAAAGACATTCATCGCAACATTCTTAACAATTTCTATTCAAAGAATGACTGGTTATACATTGTCCAAGAAAGACATTCATCGCAACATTCTTAGGACAACAATTATGGCTTGCATGAATGTATCTGTCGATTTATTCAAGCCTCGATCCAATTATAATCACGACCGGCTTCCGAAAGTATCATTTTTCAAATCAGAACAAACTACAAAAATAATACAAACGATAACAAGCAGGTTCACAGGGAACCAAAAACAACGAATTCAAAACATTTGAAAGCGTTTTCTGCATCGCAAAGGCTTGCAAGGAACACAACGCGCTCATCAGTTTAATTGCTGCGCCGTAACTTGAATCTCGGGCGTGTTTTGAAAGCCGTTAGTCAAGCCGTTCATTTATAGCGGATATTTATGGGTATTTTTAAAGGCTGCTAATTCTGCGATCAAAGCCTTTAATTAATCGTCATGAACGCCGTCCAGCATGATGAGCGTCCGGTTAAGTGAGATGAATGCACTTCTGCGCGAGAATATGATGCTTTAGTTGGGCTGCAAGACAATATACGAGAATTAGTATAGTGTAATACTGTATAGTATAGTATAGTATAGTATAGTATAGTATAGTATAGTATAGTATAGTATAGTATAGTATAGTATAGTATAGTATAGCACAATATAATACAACAAGTGGCGATTTTAATTTTGCAATATAGAGGTGATGTGTAAGAAGCGCGCTAATATATTGATGATCAGAGTATCTCAAACATATCTCAACGAAAATATGTGAAATATATTCTTTATGTAAGTTCATACTCATATATATTGTATCAGAAATTTCTGTAAAACAGAAATTAAACTCTATAGTGGAGCATCGTTAAGGAACGTACATCCTTTTCCAACCAGTTTCATTTGTGACAAAAGCAACCAGTTTCTTGGCACAAGCCCCCATTGTTCTCAGAAGTTCTCGAGAGAATTAGAAAAAGAATCGGATTTTTTGAGCAGAAACTTGGGCTTTTTATCCTTGTCGTAATTAGTTCAGTTTAAACATTCCGAGAGAATTGAAAGATGCAAACGCCTCTCCAGAGGAATGGAAGATTCTCGTACTGAAACATTTGGTTGCTGGAGCACGCGTCATTCCAATAAAAATGCATAATATATTCAGACTCTATGAATATATTCAGACTCTGAATGTAAATCGTATTCAGAATATCTATGTTTAACGTCGATCATTTTGATCGTTTGCTAATTTTTACGAATCTCTGGGAACAGTTGTGAATTTAACTAAAATTTTGATTATTCAATTAAATGACAGCAAGAAAATTAGATAATAAAATATTCAACAGTTGAAATCGCAAGGTATTAACTATCTTTCGAGGCAATTAGATATTCATAAGGTTTTATTTAATTAAAATAGAAGCCATATCACATTCTTATTAGTGGCACGCAATTCACCTTCTACTATACTCTACTAATTTACTATTTGTAGACCTTTCTTTAAACTTTTCTAGGTATTTCCTGAATAACCTTAAATGTAGGGACTCTTTATCAAGTTTGATATGAAATAATACAATCTCATTTCATATCATGCGTTGCAAATGTAAATGCTTGAAGCCGTCGTGATTGTAAAGATGTTTCTTAATTGCAAACGACGACCCTATTGATCACAAAACCGCCCAAACATTGTAGCTGTAATATTT